TCAAAACACTTAGGTGGATCCTGTCACGGGCTTTATAAGTTCCTGATTGATTGTGTGGAATTAAGTTATTGGGCAGAGAACTAGCTAATGGAAACACATTGATGAAATCACTTTTGAGAGACATTAAATGGAACTTAAAATAAAACTGAAATGACTTTATGGATTTTTCACTCAAACTGTTTATGAACATTTATTGCTGGTAAATTATATTGTGTCAAAAGAATCAGTAGGTATGGCTTTGATAGAAACCTTTCGAAATAATAAAATTGAGAATAATTTATTATCCAAGAATGGCTAGAGGATGGGATGGGGGAATTCATTCTGATGGATGGTTGTTCACTCCGCAGCTTCTGGGAAAGTTAAAAATGGTGTAAAACTCAGGAATCTGATGGCACTTGGAAAGAAACGGGCTCTTTGAAAAGTATCATTAACTCATCTCATTGTACATGGAGATTGTTTTTAGAGGAGCGGTGATGGGGGGGTGTAGCAAGTATTACTGGAGGGCACAAACATTTTGGTATGTGTCCACCTCTCATAAAAAGATGAGCAAGTAGAGAGTAACTTAATCTGCTGAAAAAGACAGTGTGGCAAGGTGGTCAAGGGCACGCGTCCCAGAGCTGAAATATTAGAGTTCAAGTCCCGGATCCCCCTCATTGCTCTGTGACCATAGGAAAATTTCCTGACTGCTCTGAGTCTCAGACTCCACACTCATAATAACAGATATTGATAGCCCCTGTCTCATGGGGTTTTTCCAATGATCAAAGGAAAACAGTTTCAGTACTTTCTACTTCATAGTAAGTGCTTTAAAAATGTTATTTTTTAAAGAGTCATAGAGGACCTGGAAAGAAAAGGAATGATTAGTGTTCATAAACATTTTGGTACTAGTAATATTATTTTATTAACTTATCATCTGCTGATTGCTGTGTGCCAGAGCTCACACTCAGGACCCCTAGAGATGAGGGTGCTGTCAGTCTCTCCTGTTTTAGTGAAGGAAACTGAGCATCAGAGAGATTGGCTTTCATGCCCAAGGTCACTTGGCTCATGAGAGATTCTGATACCTTTCCCTGACAAGTCATCCATGTGCCTGTCCTTCGGTACATATGGGACATGTCTTCCCCTGTCCAAAGTCCTGCAAAGACAAAATCAAAGGGCGTCCGGCTGGATGGTGGGCACTAACAACAGCGTGAGCCTCTCACCCTTCATGTCCATTTCATATCCAGAGCCTGTCCATCACCCACCTCCTCTACCTGTCAGAGCCCTGTCCCTCTGGCTTCTGCTGGTTTGCCATTCAGCAAGTGCCTCGGCGGCCTGGGATCGAGAGAGCAAGGCACGAGGGCTCCATGGCTAACAGTGGGTTCCTCAGCTGGAGGTGACTCTCGGCCCCAGCACTCACTGGCCGTGCGGCCAGGGGCCCCACATGTTTTTAGCCCCAGTCCTCTTACTATAAGACAAGCAGGTTCTTTGTTCTGAGAGACCACAAGCCTCTTGATGGCATTCTACTTTAGAGCGATACATATTTAGCCCCACAGCATTTTTTATTAGCATGCTCTATTATTTTAAAGATACAGCTAAAACATGTTAGATTGTTATTTTGGACATGTATTTAAAATGTAATGTATTTATTTGTTTATAACAGTAACTTGGTACTCCCATAGAAATGGCGGTAACAACTGGAAATGAGTCCAGTAGAAGCCTTGGGAACCTACAGTCGAATCTGACTGTATTCTACCTTGACCTTGTCCCTGGCCACACAGAGCTAGTTGAAGAGACTAAATGAGTGTCTGCAAGGAAGATTAAAGTCCCAGGTAGCGTGTGTTCAGTGCCGAATGAGTTGTGTGGTCACTTTACAGACATCTGTCGAGCGCCTACCCTGTGCTGGACAGTGGGGGCATGACAGAGAACAGGGCGTGTCCCCCACCGGGAGCACAGCAGGCGTGGTCACAGGAAGCTGAGGACCCAAGGCTGGGTGTTTGGGGGAGACCGAGCTCTTTCCACAGACGTGGAGTGAGCAGCTGTAGTGTGCTGGGCTGCTTTCCTGTGTCTTTTTTCTCCCCTTGGCCTCGCTTCCGGGGGCGGCAGAGCTGAGGGCCCCCAGCTGCAGTCGAGTCACCCCTTCGGGAGCGTGGTACGCCCCTGTAAGAAGGAAGGTCGCAGATGAGGGTTCGTCACTGGATCTGAGGAATGAAGAAACAGGCTGGACAAACGAAGTCTGGGTTGGATAAAGAAAACGCCCCAGGCTTTTGAGATTCATTTCACATAAGAACATGTCATCCCTCATTTTTGGATAATTGGTCAGAATAAATGTAATATGCATTCCACGGCATGCATATCCTTGGCATAGTCAAGAGTTGCAAAATAAGTATTCTTTAGCCACTAAGGCCTTGTGAAAGGACGATCGGGGTGGGGATGAGACAGGTGGAACATTAGGCCTGACAGCATTCTAGTAACAGTCCAAACAGCACAAGCGGCCCCTGATCGGGACCGACTGCCACCCGGGTAAGTCAGACCATCGTGGCCGCTTTGAAAAGTGCTAATGCTCTTTATAGGGACATTTTCATAGAATTCTGGGTAGAGCGAGGGGAGATTTGAGATGGGACTAAAGAGGACAGACAATAGAAACAAACAGAAATAACTGTCCTTGCCTTAGTGAGATAGGTGATTGCTCCTTTCAAGGGTTCAAATGACGAACAACAAAATGTCTCCAAGGGTGTCCGAGGGAAGCCGTCCTGGTGAGCTGCGGTGGTGACAGGTGGACCGCAGTCACAGAGTGGAGTTAGGACTGAGGGGGGCTGAGAGTGTGTTCTGGGGTGCCACACAGCCTAGAGCCACCTCCCAGTGTGTCACTCACTGTCCTGTGACTTCTGCAGGCCCCCCTCTCATCCACGGGGCAGCCGCCACAGTGCCTTTGGCCTCAGGTAATGCAAAGAATCACAAAAATGCAGGCAATGGGGATTATATACTGTGCACACCCACATTCCACGCATATGTAACAAAAACTACCCTGTCGTCTGTAACCCAGCCGTTCTTCCTCGATAATTGTATTAGTCGGGGTTCTCCAGAGAAACAGAACCAATGAGATCTGTGCAGAGGAAGAATCAGTGCGAGAAGTTGGCTCACACAGTTACCGAGCTTGAGAGGCCCCTCGGTCTGCTGCCTGTAGTTGGAGAGCCAGAAGGGCCTGTGGCACAGTGAAGGCTGGGTCCAAATGCCCAAGAACCGGGGCAGCTGCTTATATAGAGTCCAGCCCAGGCCTGGCACCTGAGACCCAGCAGCAGTGAGAGCAGAAGACAGATGTCCCAGCTCAAGCAGGCAGGCAGGAAGGGCCAAACTCTTCCTTCCTCCACTGTTTTGTTCCATTCAATCCACCAACAGGTAGGATGGTGCCGCTCACGTTGGAGGGACAAACAGCTTGGCGGGGTCTGGCAGTTCAGACGCTAACCCCATCTGGAAACCAGAAGCAGTGCTCAGCCAAACCTCCGGGCAGCCTCTGATCCAGTCGAGTAGACACATAAGATGATCCATCACCGTTATAAAGAATACAATAAAGTTTAAACCACAAGAGCAAAATAAACGATGTATGCATAGTAAAACAACGAACATCCTAGGAACCTTACATAAAAAAGGTTACATTTTAATGGGGCTGTGGGCACATTCAGGTAGGTTTGAATCAATGTGGTTTGGGGCCCTGAAAAGTGGAACTGTCTGCAGGTAGAGAAAGGTCTCCGATGTCCTCACACTAAATGTCTCTGTGCCTCCTGCAGCTGTCAATACGATGGGGCACCGAAGGGAATAAAATGAGCCACTGTGTATGAAATATGTATTATGCTGTCTAGCATGTAGCAGTCACAGAAAACGTTCGCTTAGAATAACAGTTATTGTTCACCAGGATATTCTTTCAACGATTATATATAATGTTAAGTCAAGGCATAATTTTTTATTTTACTTGCAACAATCTTTTACTCACATCAGAAAGATTAGATATTTCTACAGATGCTACAAAAGTACAGAAACCAATTCATCTTCCTAGACTCATCAGTATGTCAGGATAAATCTAGATTTAGAATAACAGTGGTTAATGGAGGAGATTTTTAGACATTATAACAATGCAAGAGGATTCTAGAAATTCACCCATGAATGCGAGATATTATTCTGTCCCCTCTCACAGTGTCAAAGAACTGTACCAAATGTATAAAAATAAACACCTTTATATCAAAGTACAGGATATTGCCTAGCTAAGTTTAATTGAAAAGCTAATATCCAGTGCAATCATCTGTGATAAACTGAGGCTTAAATGCATTGAAAACACTTCGGGAGCAGAGAAATCAAATAATCACAATCTTTACAGTGAAAAAGGTTTAGCTGGAGTTGACAAGTTGTGAAGATAAAAGCGTATAGCAAAGTCAGCCGCTAAATGTCTGGACTGGGTTGAATCAATGTTAATACTCAAAGTGTAAAAGCACTGAACTTCAAATGATCTCACACACTGTTGTGTTTGACTCTTCAAGGAAATAGTGTCAAACTTTATTTATGTCTGCTTAGTTGTCCCTAGGCGCATAGCTTGCAGCCTCTACAGGGTTTTCTGCCATCTACCGTTTCCACCTCTGCCCAGGTGCCGAGATGTTCCTGCATGGGAGGCGCCCCCAGTGCAGTGCAAGGGCTCAGCTGCTGGGCCTTCAGACATTTCCAGTTGGGAGACGGTTACAAGTTTATGAGAAACCAGAGTCATTTCTAGGCATCTTTTTTTTTTAAGCTAATATGGAATTTGCCTCCTGGCCTCACTCTGATCTCAGCAGGAGCACTCTCAAAAGAAGTTCGTGTTTTTTTCAAAAGCTGTTTGCATGAGTTGATTCAATGTTTTCCTATTATGGAGCCCTAAAGCCAGTGACAAAATATGTGTGGACCGGTTTGCATGAAGGATTCACTGCATTTAGCTGACTGTGCCCCCAGGTGACACAGCCAACGGTCTCCAACCTCTGTTTGCTTTTTTCTTCTGTTTACAGGAGCAGAGGGCACCGTGTTCCCTAAATCCATAGAGACCCCTAACGTCAGGGCAGACCCCTTCAAGGAGCTAAGGTAAGCCTTTGACTTCGTGTTGACCAGTGGCTGTTTGTTCTTTCTGTGCAACGGACCGACGACCCATTCTGAATCTGTGTAATGAGCCGTGCATGAAGATGTAAACGGGGAGAGGCTAGAAAGGATGTGAAGATAAGTTTCAGCCAAGGGAAAATTTTCTCTGAGGACTTAACATTGAGGGTTTGGAGCAAGAGGTTGTCTGCCTTGGAATTGTGAGATCTAGGCGTTGTGGTGTTGCAGTGTTTGTTTCTTGCTGTACTTTGTGGTACCAAAAGCCTATCCAGTTAGAGGACTAGTCAGCAATTGGAGCTGACCAGCCCAAAGAAAACTGGTGCCTAAGAGAAGCTGAATTCTGAATGCAATCCAGATTTATTGTTTTCTGTGTAACAAGCTCCCCCGTTACCTGGGTTGTTACGGTGTTCAGACTACCTTGGGAGGTATTCCACGTGCTGGTGGTAATCTTCAGATCTCCATACGTGTGTGCCCTCAGCAGAAAAGGGCTCTGAGATGCTGTGCACTCCCCACCAGCAGCTGTAGAAAACAAAAAAGAACAGTAGACATACAGACAGACAGACAAAGACCGAGATAAGGCCTACAAACCATCCCTGCCACCCAAGGAGCATCCCCAGCCCCAGGAAGAAACATAAAAAATGGTATCATGCTACCAGTGTAACTGTTAATGTTGCCTGTACACGTGCAGCCATGAAGAATTCAGCGAATGAATGCTGGCTTTCCTCATCTCTCGTAGTTCTTTTAGCTCACACCAGTCGCAGATCATCACAACTAGCACGGAATAAGTGTTGTGTAAAGGTGTCAACCATGAGCAAACGTACCTGATTACACAGGTCATACCTGCTCTTACACAGCGTCGTCCTACGAGCTGTTATCTCAAAGCAGCAGTGGCCACGTGGGAGCTTGTGTTTCCTTAAACAAAAACACATTCTCACCTCACTACAAAACCCAGAGCATCCTTGCAAAGCCTGTCAGTCTTGATGAATGTAGAGAAATAATCGGGCCAAAGGAAGAAGCTAGTTGGTGGGGAGTGAGAGCCTTTTCTTAGCAAAATCCCTCCTACAGTGGGCATTGTCGTTAAGATTATACACCACCCCGCAAGGTTTCCCATTGTACTGGAATAACTGCGCTGGTCAGTGCTTCCGGGTGCGCACAAGGCACCTGCGTACCTGTCAGCGGGGTGCGACGTTTCATATCCGGCACTGAAAGTGGAATCTTCCCAGCAAATCCCCCCAAGGAGACCCCCGTTTCAGGGCTTGGATTCACTCTCGGGGAGCACGGTGACCCCTCGTGCCTCTGATGCCAGAGCTCTTCCCAGACAAGTCACGGTGGCCTGTGTCCCTTTTCACAGTCCTCTTTAGGAGCAGCATTGTTATTTTATTTTATTTTTACAGAACTAGTCAGTAATTAGTGCTGATCAGGCCAAAGATGAGGGCTGACTAAAAGAAGCTGAACTCTAAATATAAGACAGAATCTTTTTTGCGGGGGAGGGGTTAGGGTAACAAGCTCTCCATTAACTGGAAGACTTGAGAAATATGTGTAATGGATGTAGGCTAACTTGGCTTTACACAGAAAACTTAATTCTCTGTAGTGCAAAACAAACCCAGCCCACATCAAACCCAAAGAAACTCTTCAAGGAACAGCCCACTTTAGACACCCGGATGCGGAGGGACACAGAGCAGAGTCCTGCCCACACAGTGCCACAGACGCTCCGCCAGCCCTCCGCGTACAGCCTGTGCGCAACCCAGTCACAGGGAGATCTTCTAAGTCCGTGCAACATAGGAAGGACTTCAGGCAGTTGCTACATTTTCACTGCTTACTCTAAAATTACATAGAAATAAAATGTTCCGACAGGAAGCAGAAAAAGCTTTTAATATGTCATTTTAAAACTGGCCTTTTGTTTGCACCTGTCCAAATCGTAGTGGCGCTCGATAAGCTGAACGGAGCCAGGAGCCTAGACTGTGATCATCAGCCCCTTCATCCTTCTGGAATTTCTTCTTAAAGGCACATTGAGAGAGAATCTCTGACCAATTGAAAGGATAATGGAATGTGGTTGATTGATTGGTCTAGATCAGTGCGTCCATGAATGTTTCACATTTGGCATTTCATGATGCCACACCGTACTCTCCGCTATTGACTGGAATTGACCTTGGCTATTGAGTAAATAGGTAATGAACTTGGTGACTGACTCTTATGGCCTCTAGTTTTACGGTTGGATCGGTTTTACTAACCCAGGTCATTCATGTCTGGTGTGTCTTCTGGTCTTGGGAAGGTAGAGTCTCCTGAGGGAGGTTCCTGAAGTTGTACCGGCAGGCAGCGCCGAGGGAACTGCCCAGGCGCAGCGGAGGCAGGTGCCCCTCAGTGGCAGCCGGGCGGAGGGGAGGGGCACTGAGCTGCACGTCAGGGACCTACTGCATACCCGCCGTGTGGCCTTGAGCTCGCCAAGAGCCTGACATCTGTAAACAGCCAGGTCACTTCCAGCTCCAAACAGCAAATTCCTTTATATTAGTTTACTTTTTATTTTTAAATAAATTTAGATTTAAAGAAGAGATATTCTTTCAATACCTCTTCATAAAGAGGTATATTTTGGGAACAAAATTCATAAAGATTATTCCCATGCACCTTTCAATTGATATTCTCTGTTAATATCTTACACATCTATGATACGTTGATAAAACTAAGAAGTTAATGTTGAAGTCCTAAAAGATCTTATTTTATATAAGATTTGCCTAAAAGGATGCAATCACCTGAATGTCTTATTGATTAAAAAATATACAAAAAGGAGATGAACAGAAAAGTCATTTATTGAGATATAAATTAATGGATCTTTAAAGCTCCCCAATGCAGTTAAGTTGGAATGTTTTTAATGTTTTAATAACATTTTCTTGATCTCACTTATTAATGAGAAACAAATTGAATTAACAGACCACAGCTTACATATACATAGACTGTCTTCTAAAATAAACAAGCAAAACTTAAATATTTAATATGTCCCTCACTTACCCCAGTCAAACGTGAGAAAATAGCATCCATTTCAGAAACCTCTGTTGGGATAAGTTTTGTTTTCTCAAACCTCTGTCTGGGCTACTGGAGTGCTCTGTGTTGTTGTTGTTCTCTTGTTGTTGTTGTTGTTGTTTGTTAATGAGAAGCAAATTTTAAGCCTCTGGCATTTCTCCCTAAAAGATCTCAGCTCTTGGGGAGTAGACTTGAGTTTTCGTTTACTACTGTTATTTTTGGAGTTACTGGACGTATCCTGTCTGCCATGTTTGCTTAAGATGTTTGTAAATAATGCAGGGTTGAGCTGGAGATCACGAAGGACCTTGCTTCTCTCCAGACAAACAGTGTGTGAGTGAGGTCTGCGCCCGCACCCGGCCGGCGCAGCGTGCGTTGGCCGTTCGCCCGGGCTATTCTGAAGCAAGGACGTGTCGCGCTGGAGGCACTGCACCTAAGCGTGTACCAGCTAATATGCCTGCACCTTGCAGGGGAAAACTCATTTTTAATAGAAACTGGGTTTTAATAAATTCATGATTTTAAAAATGTGAATATTTTAAATGTTCTCTTGCTCACTATTTTCCTTCCTGGAGTCTATAAGAAGACATACGCAAAGCTCCCTGACCTCAGGCTGTGCGAGATCTGACACAGGAAATGGGCCGTTCAGGGCAGCATGTGTGCTTTCCGTAAGAACAGAGGCTGCTTCTGAATGCCCGCCTTGTTCTGAAGACTCTTTTCAAGCATGAAGTTTCCTTGTAGGATTCTGATCCTACAGGAACAGGAAATAGATTGTGAAATCCTGTTTCCCAGTCACATGCTAGGGCAAACGTAAAGAAAGAGAAGATTACATAGACCGCTGTCCCTCCAGAGCCACCTCCGTTCCTCTAACTGTAACTAATAGCTTGGAAGAAACCGCAACAGGGCAAGAAGCCAGGAGGTCTTTATAAAAGAATGCGTCATCAGCCGATGTGACGATGTGCTCTTATGCTGTGTGTACAGTGACACAAGGGTGGTGGCCAGATTTTACATTCAATGTCAGAGCAGCTACTGTTTACCAAGCACTTTTTGATGCGTGCAGGGAGTCCGAGCATGGGCTAAATAAATACTTGGGATGTAGAGATAAGTGAGTATTCAGCTACTTTGTAGTTAAGGAGAGTAAGACAGAAGTGCACCTCACAGCACAAGGGAATCGGATCAGGACTGGGAGAGATGCAGGAACCGAGTCCAGGGAGCACAGAGAATAGCAGAATCTGCCTCTGAGATTTAAGTAAGGCCACCCGAGGGAAGTGGCATTTCAGTTGCAAGAAGAAAGAAAAGATAAAACCCAAGAAGCAGGCTTCAGAATTCACAAGGCCTGGATCTGCAGAGCCATTTCATGTAGGGGCAAATAGCCTGAAATAATTCCGTAGCTGCCAAGAATGTTACTGTGTTATTTACAAACTCATTTCCTTATGACAACTGTATTCTTGACTAGATTGTGTGGAGGCAATTTCAAACATGGTCACAAAAGACTCTAAAGAGTGTGACAAGTTTCACAACGTAATACGTAACATAATTAAGGGCCAAAAGGTTCACAGAGGTCAACCCCATTCTACAGCCCCAAATAAATAAGGCATTTCTTTGTTAATGTTTGCTTTTCCTCCATTCTATTACCAAGGTTTTAATGATAAGACTGAAGAATTCTAAGCTATATCTGTTACTCTCAGTAGGCACTTGAATATTCTGTAGGATGTTTTCCAATGGATAGAAACTAAACCTGATTTCCTTAGGGAACGTATGAGATTTAAGCTATGTATATCATAGGGAAATAAAGATTAGACAAGGTTCCCACAAGCTGACAAAAAATGAATTTCTTTCTTTAATTTTATTTTAAAATGTCTGTAGCCAAGTAAATATTTATGGACTCCCTGTGATTTGCCAGTTTATGTGACCAGAACAATCTGTCAAACCTTCAGGGTACAACAAATTAGAGGCTTGGTGATATCACTCCCCCTGCT